GAACTGAAATTACAGATACAGAAATACATCGAAAGGAAAAAGGGATTATCATCAAATCACTGAGAGAGAGGATCAACAGGGGGACCATTCATCCCCACCACCGACCATCGTACCGCCCATTTTCTCTGGAAAAACCAAGCAAAAAACCGAGCTTTGACCATCCCACCGACCATCCCGACCAATATCGAAGTCATTCTTCGACATACCGTCATAGACTACCGTATAACAACATCGGCGACCTTCCGCCGCCACCGACCACTGTGATCTGCCGCTGTCGGCCATTATCCGCCGCTGTCGGCCACCATCCGCCGCCATCGGCCAACGTCATCCGCCGCCCCTCACCACCTTCCGACGCCAACAACCACCCTCCGCCGCCAACGACCACCGTCAAGAGCCGCCGTCCACCACCCTCCTCCGCCACCAACCACGGTCTACTGCCGCCATCCACCACCGTCCGCCGCTATTATGGAAACACCGGTAAATACTCTATCTATCTTTATATGTATATGTATTTATCTACATATATGTATATCGTTTTTTTTTTTACGTAATGCGTCTATATATATATATATATATACACGTTACCGCAATTTATATCGCTTTTTTACGTTATGCATCTCTATATATATACGTTACCGCAATTTATATCGTTTTTTTTACGTAATGCATCTATATATATACGTTACCGCAATTTATATCGTTTTTTTTACGTTATGCATCTCTATATATGTTACCGCAATTTATATCGTTTTTTTTACGTTATGCATATATATATATATACGTATAAATAGTTACGTAAATATGTGTACGGGTTTTCAAGCGTACGCATATATACGTATAGATACTTACGTAAATATGCGTACGGGTTTTCAACCGTACGCATATTTACGTATAAATACGTACGTAAATATGCATACGGGTTTAAATTATGAAGTAGGAGGTTGGTATTTATAATGAAATTGATATTAGAAAAAAAATCAAATATTTTTTTCTTTTACCCGGATCACCCCGGGTACAGTACGGATCGCCCCGGGGCGAGGTGAAACATGGTCAACGAGGGATGAACAGTAATCTCGATTTTTGAGGAATTTTTTTAAGACTTAATGGGGTATCGCCCCCGTAGTGTACGGATCGCCCCCGGTGTGGTCATTCCGGTAAAACCTCTAAAATGTGGTTATTTTGTGGCAAAGAGTTGTGTAAACCGGTTATTTTTATAAATTTCCCTATATATATATATATATATAATGTTTACTTTGCAAACCATATTATTTGTACAAACCGTACAAACCTCATTCAACCAATTATAATTTTTCATTTTGTTTATTTTTTGTAATTATAAGAGGTTGATTAATTATTTTTATTGTACGGGGTCTTATTCATGAATATTATCATCTTCATTATTTTAATTTTAGAGCAATACATGAAACAGTTTTATTAAAATTTCATTAAGTATTATATGAAACAATTTCATAACCATATATGAAACAATTTTATCAAAAAAAATATTATATGAAACAATTTAATGAAATTTTTTAATAAGAATAAACGATGAAATCGACAGATAAAGATGATTTGCACGATTTATACAAATTGAATTGTTTACATTTGATCGCTTCTCTCTCTATATACATAAAGCTATTAATTTTTTTTACAAAATTGTCATCACTTAGTTGTTAGTTCTTACTTTTTTTGATGTGAGAATCCCTCTTCAAGTCTTTTATTCATTAAAAATTTCAAAAAAAAAAAACCTAAAATTAAAAAATAAAAATTAATATAAATGTGATTGGAACCAACACCTTACAAAAATCATATAAGCCAACCCTATCAACTTACTTTATTAATGTAATCTCAAAAGATACATCGAACCCGTAAAACTTTTACTACAACAAACTTTTATTGAACGGAATTTCTGATCTATGATTTCTTTTTTATTCCTTTCTTTATTGAAATTAATGACTTGAAGATGACTTTTTTTATCAACCATTTAAATTTTCGTAACGTGACAGTCAAGAAAGAGAAAAAATGTAACTATAATGAAACCCAGACTTTTTTTTATGTTTGAATTTTGTTTACATAGTTTAACGAATAAGCCATACATGTCGAATAGCCCGGAAGTCTTTTACATGAGTTGACCACGATAAGTTAGATTTGACCACATGATGCAAGAAACTTGGTCAATGCCACACCAGAAGATCCACCATCACTCATTGCCATTGCAGCCTCCTCTTTCCTTGCCTTTGCCGCATCCCTAAGACTTTTATCTTCGATCACCTGTCTAACCCTCTTCTCTACCTCCATCGCCGCCACCATCCCGCCGTCTAACTCCTCCATCGGCAGAGCCACCTTCATGTCCTCCACCATCACCACTTTGTTGAATCTTTGTTCTGCATAAAGCGGCCAAGCCACCATCGGAACGCCGGCAATTACTGCTTCTAACACAGAGTTCCACCCGCAGTGAGTCACAAACCCACCCACCGAGTCTTTGTTGAGCACCGCCACCTGTGGCGCCCATGTCTTCACCACCAGCCCTCTATCTCTTGTACGATCCAAGAAACCTTCCGGCAACAGCAAATCCAAGTCTGGCTCCGGTGGTGGCTGAAACCGGTCCATTTTGTTATTGGACGGTGGAGTTCTTACCACCCATAGAAACCTCTGCCCACTCTTCTCCAGACCAGTGGCAATCTCTTTCAACTGATGGCTTGAAAACAAACCCAAACTCCCAAAACATAAATAAACAACGCTTTGACTCGGTTGCAAATCGAGCCAGTTCAAGCACTCGTGCGAACCATCCCCACCGGCAGCTATTAATGGTCCGATGGTATAAATCGGTGGCGTAGGTTGATCTGGGACACATAAACCATCGGTAATTGCTTTGATCGCTTTTGGTTCCAGCGAATCAAATGTGTTTACGATGATCCCAGCTGATTTGGGCAATTGCTCACAGAATACAAGCAAGTCCGAATAAACGGCAGAGGTTCTATCAAGAAGTGGGCTTGGCAGCTCCGACGACGGTATAGGTGGCAAACCCGGTGAATGGATGAGCGTGTTCATATCTCTAAAACTTGCGGTGGTGGTTCTGTGCATCGTCGGAAAGTAGAGGAATTGGGCGAGGCAACATGCACCGGAAGTGAAGAAGTAGTAAACAGGGATGTTTAAGTTAGCTGCGGCAGTCATGGCAGGCGTGCAAAAAAGGTCGATGATGAAGACGGTAATATGAGAGGAGAGAGAGATTGATTGGAGGGCGTGTTCGATGTTGGTGGCGCTACGTCGGAAAAGCTCGAACATAGCGGCTCCCATGGTGGGGTAAAGGTCGGTATCGAGTGGGATATCGGGAAGGTGGTGGAAGGTGATGGCAGGGAAGGTGTGAGAGATGTGGCGGACATAGGAGGCGGTGGAGGCGGGGTTGAAGGAAGGGATGAGGGTGAGGAGGACGACAGAGAAGGAAGGATGGTGGTTGAGGATGAGTTTTCCGAGCTCCACCATTGATACGAGGTGGCCCATACCTGGGGATGGATAGAGAACTATGGTGGCCATTGTTGTGGTGGGTGTTGAAGGTAGAGGGATAGGATTAAAGAAGGGAACTGAAATGGTAGAACATATAGGATAGGACGAAGGAAGGAGGCCAAAATCAAAATCAAAATCAAATAAAAAAGGATGTGAGGACAAGCTGCAACACCTAAGCGCTTACGCAAATTATTAAAACTGTAATAATTATGTTTCTTGTGAGTGGGAAGTCGTGGATCAGTAATTCTCTTGAGCGGTAAAGTCTTGGATTGGGGAGTGATGATGGCACCCGACCCGACAGTGGGTGTGGACTTTGAAATTTGGAGTTACTTTGATTTTCATCAAACGTCAAAATCAACGATAAGATATTACTTTATTTTTATTATTATTGTTTTATATATAAAACATATTATATATAAGGGTTAGATTCATGTAAGGCCAAAAAAAATTTATGAAACCTGCAAGACTAATTTATGTTCATTGATCAGCTTTATAAGCTAATGATCCAATGGTCTAAAGTTGTACGATGACAATTTTGTGATTATTGAGAAGTCTCGTAGCGTTTATGAATGTTCAGATTGTTAGATTGTAGATCTAATAAGAGTTGAGAATTGGTTTTACGGGTCTCACGAAAAACCCTTGGTCTCATATGATCCCATGTTTTATATATAATTTTCATTTATACTAATTGTATTTTTATTATATATATATATATATATATATATATGATAACCAAATGATAACCAAAGTTTTTGTGTTAACTTTGTTAACTGATCTTGGTCATCCAATATTTCAATAAACGGTTGTGATTAATCATGATAAAAACTTATTTATTTAAATTTAAAATTTCATAAAGATAAGTGAACAAAGTTGAAAAGGTATTAGGAGTTACAAAATCAAAAAATCTTATGATTTTTTTAATTTATTTTTGTTAAAGTAATAAACATACAAACACAACTATATATATATATATATATATATATATATATAATGAATCATTGTGTCAAATACGAAAATGGACATATATATGAACTTGGACTGCATAGCATTTATGAACACAATAAGAATAATTGATATACGAAAGAAAATATATAAAAAACATGTATGAACACAATATGAACAGCTTGCGAACATTAGTTCATTCATTATGAACTCATTCAGGAACGATCATTTGTCAATTGGAGTTTTATACATGTATTGCATCCACATCGTTTAGGGTGTGGTTGGTACACTGGACATGGACATGACAGAACATGACAGGGATCCTTGTCCCATGTTTGACATGAATTTTATGTGGAATAGACAGGAACATAGTGGAGCAGGTCTATTCCACCCCTACCCCATGGAACATGGTGGAACAGACTTATATTTTACCCAATATAAGCTCAAAATAAAACTTAATTCTCTTCTAAACCATCAAATAGGTCTCTCTTTAACATTTTATTCATTCTTTAAATTTTTTTATTGTATTTTATGTTTCTTAAACTTTCATTTTACTGTCCTCAAAATATTATTTTTATGCGGTTTCTATATTTTTATTAATTTATGTAATTTATTATACATTAATAAAAAATAATGTAGAAAATAGATAAAAATAAAAATAGAAAACCACATAAACTTTTTATTTGGTGTCATTTTAATTGTTTTGACGAAAACTTCAAATGATATATTTTGTTATAAAAAATAATTATTCTATTATAATTTAATAAATTACATAAATTGTTTTCTTGATTTTATCATCGCCAAACGTATTGCGTAAGGTTCACGCATGCAATTTGTTGTTTTCNTTGAGGATGAGTTTTCCGAGCTCCACCATTGATACGAGGTGGCCCATACCTGGGGATGGATAGAGAACTATGGTGGCCATTGTTGTGGTGGGTGTTGAAGGTAGAGGGATAGGATTAAAGAAGGGAACTGAAATGGTAGAACATATAGGATAGGACGAAGGAAGGAGGCCAAAATCAAAATCAAAATCAAATAAAAAAGGATGTGAGGACAAGCTGCAACACCTAAGCGCTTACGCAAATTATTAAAACTGTAATAATTATGTTTCTTGTGAGTGGGAAGTCGTGGATCAGTAATTCTCTTGAGCGGTAAAGTCTTGGATTGGGGAGTGATGATGGCACCCGACCCGACAGTGGGTGTGGACTTTGAAATTTGGAGTTACTTTGATTTTCATCAAACGTCAAAATCAACGATAAGATATTACTTTATTTTTATTATTATTGTTTTATATATAAAACATATTATATATAAGGGTTAGATTCATGTAAGGCCAAAAAAAATTTATGAAACCTGCAAGACTAATTTATGTTCATTGATCAGCTTTATAAGCTAATGATCCAATGGTCTAAAGTTGTACGATGACAATTTTGTGATTATTGAGAAGTCTCGTAGCGTTTATGAATGTTCAGATTGTTAGATTGTAGATCTAATAAGAGTTGAGAATTGGTTTTACGGGTCTCACGAAAAACCCTTGGTCTCATATGATCCCATGTTTTATATATAATTTTCATTTATACTAATTGTATTTTTATTATATATATATATATATATATATATATGATAACCAAATGATAACCAAAGTTTTTGTGTTAACTTTGTTAACTGATCTTGGTCATCCAATATTTCAATAAACGGTTGTGATTAATCATGATAAAAACTTATTTATTTAAATTTAAAATTTCATAAAGATAAGTGAACAAAGTTGAAAAGGTATTAGGAGTTACAAAATCAAAAAATCTTATGATTTTTTTAATTTATTTTTGTTAAAGTAATAAACATACAAACACAACTATATATATATATATATATATATATATATATAATGAATCATTGTGTCAAATACGAAAATGGACATATATATGAACTTGGACTGCATAGCATTTATGAACACAATAAGAATAATTGATATACGAAAGAAAATATATAAAAAACATGTATGAACACAATATGAACAGCTTGCGAACATTAGTTCATTCATTATGAACTCATTCAGGAACGATCATTTGTCAATTGGAGTTTTATACATGTATTGCATCCACATCGTTTAGGGTGTGGTTGGTACACTGGACATGGACATGACAGAACATGACAGGGATCCTTGTCCCATGTTTGACATGAATTTTATGTGGAATAGACAGGAACATAGTGGAGCAGGTCTATTCCACCCCTACCCCATGGAACATGGTGGAACAGACTTATATTTTACCCAATATAAGCTCAAAATAAAACTTAATTCTCTTCTAAACCATCAAATAGGTCTCTCTTTAACATTTTATTCATTCTTTAAATTTTTTTATTGTATTTTATGTTTCTTAAACTTTCATTTTACTGTCCTCAAAATATTATTTTTATGCGGTTTCTATATTTTTATTAATTTATGTAATTTATTATACATTAATAAAAAATAATGTAGAAAATAGATAAAAATAAAAATAGAAAACCACATAAACTTTTTATTTGGTGTCATTTTAATTGTTTTGACGAAAACTTCAAATGATATATTTTGTTATAAAAAATAATTATTCTATTATAATTTAATAAATTACATAAATTGTTTTCTTGATTTTATCATCGCCAAACGTATTGCGTAAGGTTCACGCATGCAATTTGTTGTTTTCGATGAGTTTTGTATGTTTTCCCTTGATCAGAGTAGTAAATATTCGATTTTGATCTTACAGGAGTGATTGTACAGGTGATAAGTGAATTCTTTTGTTTTCTGGAATCCAAGTTTTGTGAATGTGATGATACTATATGGGATCACTAGTCAAATTGTTTTCTTGATGCTTATATTTTATTTACTACTTGATATTTAATTCATTTTAATTGATTGTGGGCTTGTTGTTAGTAGTTTTTTATTCTTAGTATGGAATGCATATAGATTTACTTCGTTAATGGATTCTTGATGCTTATATTATATTTACATTTTTCATATATCATTAGTTGATTATGAAATCATGTATTTTTGCAAATGTATTTTTGCAAGTAGTAGTGGTTTGATATAAGTTATACTTTGCACACCGTATTTGTTAACATTTATATTGATTATTTAGTTAAAAAAACACTAAACAGCTCACTGGGGTTAAATTGGTCATTTTAACTAGTTATGTCCAGTCCTGTCATGTTTTACCAAACGCTGAACAGCTATCCTATTCTATCATGTCCTGTCATGTCCTGTTATGTTCTATCATGTCCTGTCTGCGTACCAAACGCACCCTTAAAGTTCACCCCTTGTTCATATATGTTTCTAGTCTTATGTGGTTGTTCACCCCTTGTTCATATCGTGTTCACCCCTTGTTCATATCATATAAAATACATGAACACATAACCTCGACGCTATGAACACCGGGTGCAAACACTAACACAAATATAAAGATTTGATATCAAGCTTAAAAAATAACACTTGTGTTCATATGTTAGAAGTAACATGAACACAATGGTTCATGATTCATAAAAGTCGGTAATATGACAATATGAAAATGGGTCATGTATGTACTTCCATTTGAACATGTGAATTAGGTACGTATTAATAATTAAAGAAAAAAAATTATCAATGCAATATGAACTACAAAAACACAACACATCAAAATGAACATAATTGCGATTAAAACGAGTCTAATAAAATATTAATCCATTACCAAGATATTCGCTTTGGTTAATTTCTTCACTTCCCGAACTCGAACTCCGATTGTCACCATAAACCATTTTAATCTTCTCAGTGTTCTCAATTTCTTTTCCAATGCGTTTATCCATAATAGCTTGAACGATACCAAAGATTTTACTATCGTGTTTCCTCCACGAATCAAAAACTCATAAAACAATAAAAATGAAATATCAAGATTAAAAAAAATATCAATATTATAAATGCATATTTTTAGGGATTTTATGATTTTGTAACTCCCCATTAATGATTTTGTGAACATGATAGAAACCTAATAGAAGAATGAATTGTGATTGGTTGACATGGTTTGCAAAGTTAACACAAAAACTTTGGTTAAGATTTGATCTTGACCCTATATATATATATATATATATATATATATATATATATATATAT